TAGAATCATTTTTGCCTTAACTTCTCTAATCTACCTATCTTTTCTGTTTAACAAGGAGCCTTAATTCTCACTCTACTGGAATGATAATTTTTTTTCCTGAAAATATGTTCTTTCCAGTTCATTTTCTCTCTAAGAGATGACTTAAATTTTTCTTTAAAAAATGTGCAACAACAACACTAATAAAGTCAAAATTCCTTTTCCCAAAATTTCATTCTTCATAATTTCTTCTCATCCTTCATTAATTCTCTTTCTGTTTTACTCAGTCATAGTTTCTGTTCTAGAAAATCCCTCCCTTGATCCCATTCACTTTTGTTCAATCTCTTTCACTTCTCATTTCACTTCTCACTTCATTTCTTTCTCATATCCTCCAAACCCATTCCATCATCTCTTCCATAATGTGACCTTAACATATCTTTCCAACCTCTTGCACGCTTTGAAGTAGAGATTTTTCTCAAACCAGCCTCTCACTATTCCCCAAACAGGCCATGCTTTCCAGCCCTACAGCTTGGCACTCATCCACCTCCCTTCACCTAGCACTTTTCCCAGCATCTTCAGAAAAGCCAGTCTATACCGTTTCCTTGAAAGTTGTTGAGTCAAAGCTACGGATATTTTATTTTTATTCTCCAGCTTCCTCCAACCCTCATCTTTCCTGTTTTCCTGTCATTTTCTTCTACACAGTCCAAAGACTCCCTCTCGTTCTGCACCAGGGACAAACCTCTTCTTCCTCCTCCCTGATGATGTAAACACTGCTCTAATTCCAATCTTTTCATTATTCTTTTAAGCTGGCCTTTATCTTGGTTTGGTTATGCTGCTTTTAAGAGTGAATTATTCTTTGACTATTTGAACATAGTTTAGGCATATAACAAGTGGATAAATTTTCTATATGAAATATCTGGGTTACATTTTCAATTCTCTACTCTTATTCCCTAGACCAATAATAAAACAGATCTTGAGAAAGAACAGACATTCAGTTGCTGAATGGAAGAAATGTTTCCTTCCCTATTCAAAAGCTGCCCTTCTAACTAATTAAAGAAATATGTCAGAATGGTTCCCAAGAAGAACTCATACGTCAGCACCAAAGAAATAAATATTCTGAAAATGAGAAGAACCACTTGGTCTACTTCTCAACAGAGATTGAGAACAAAGGAAAAGAAAAGAGACAGGGAAGAAATTAATCAGAATTCAAGCTGAAATAAACATAGAAACCTGTAGTTGTAATGAAAGGGAAAACTAGGTAAGCTTAGGAGTCTGGTGAAGCCCAAAGCTATTATGTATATGCCCAAGATATACAACACATTTCTAACACTTGCCATCAACTTCTGACCAAAGCCAAGCCCCCACAAAGGGAAAACTGGGACATAACAGGGTGTTGGAATGATGAACAGTACTTAGAAATCTTTTGCACAATACAAATAATTCTTTAACACAGTGTGCTTTAAAAATAGTTGGAGGAGAAAAACAGGCACTTGAAGACATCAGTGCTTTGTGAGAATGGACTTCACAGTCAATAAAGCACCATTTTAGTGTAGGCTATTTATTAGTATCGATGCCTGAGAGAAGTGTGATGACCTCTCACACACTGCTGGGGAGCAAATGGTATTAAGCGTGCTCCACCACCTCTCCCAAACCTCAAATGGCAAGAGTGGCTAGGGAAAAAAGAGCACTGGGAAGGACATTTTCTCTCTTAAATTCACATTAAACCCTCGGCAACCAAGCTCCTATAAGCCCAAATAGTAGAAATGAGAGGTGCCCAGAAACAGAATTCGGCACCTCCTTGCCCATATGCCTTCAGGGATCTAATGCAAATGTGTGCTTACAGAAGCAGAACAGCTCCCCAGCTTGCTTGAATGCTCACCTTAGTCCTCAGGACTTTTCCACTTTCCTTAGCCAACCATTCCTGCAGTCTCTGGGAAGAATCAGACTAAAGAGTAAAGATACAGAGATGGCTTGGGTTCTGAGTTTCCTGGAGACAAAAGCATTACTCCTTTCCATATAACTCATCAGAAATGTTCAAATAAGACACCATCATAAGGTTTCAAGATTTCCATCTTTGGACGGTTTGCAGAAATGTTTAGAAATTCCTCCTCACTGGTTCATTCAATAAATAGTTGCTGACGTCATGCCACAGTTAATACTATGGGTATTAAAATGAGTAAGACAAAGAATATATATGTCATATAAGTATTACACATCCACACACATCTATGAATAAAGATTATTACTCTGTAGGCTGAAGTACTCAACTATTAATTTCCTTTCTCTCTTTTTACCTTAACCTCTTACCTTCTATATTATCATTTTATAGGGAACAAGTAAACAAATAATTTTCTGATATCATGCAACATGTGATATATGATATAATGTGATATGATATGACATGGGGGTGATAACAACAAATGGCATGTTAGCTTAGTCTTAGGCACTAGCTGGCCTGGCAGACACTGAACATATCAAGGAATAAGAGGTGATTACAGTCCAATGTATTTGTACTTTAAGAAACAGAATAAAGATGTCCTCTTATATCTAAGCTAGTTGATAAAAGAAAAGGTAATATCAATTTAAATAGGAATTACTTACCACTTGCTTTACCTAAAAAAAAAAAGGTACTGGAATAAAATTTAGAGCAAAGCAGAGAAACTAATTTTTACTAAGAATCAAATGCAAAAAAAAATCCTAAATATCTGTCAAAAACAAGGCTGAGTGAACTATTTTTGAAGCAACAATAACAAAAAAAGACCCCTGAGCAAGAAATTTTATAGCCATCCTGTTTCTAGGTCGGAATTCTCTTAGAATGAGACAAAGAAAAATCTGGACCTGGAATAAGAAGAAGATGTTAGGAATTTATTTACCACACTGACAGAGATTTGTTTAACAGATGAAAGGCCAGAGTAACCACATAACATATGAACAGGGAATGGACTGAAGGGAAAAAAGGAAAAATTATGACTCCAGAGTAAAGGACGATACATTTTTAGAACACTTGTTAGGTTAAGTTAGGTAGAGAAAGGAAAAGAAATTATCAGACTCTGATAAAGGAAAGAACCATCTTTCATGTTTCTCCACAAGAAAACACTCAGTATGCTTTGTAAATATTAAATCTGATATTTTAATAGACCTGAAAAACCAGTAAGTGGATTCCGTAATTTAAAAATTCCTAACGTTAATTCTATACAACACAGAATGGGGAGGGTGGAGAATAAGAAATGCTTCTACACAAAATAAATGACTTGTTTTGGTTTCCTTATAAAAGCATAAACAAAGAGCATCTTAAAATATATAAATAGAATCCAAAAAGGCTAGTTTGTTGTTGTTGTTTTTTAAGAAACAAAACCACCATGAAGAAAAGATCTTAGAAAGTATACAAATTTCATCAGAATATAATTGAACTTGCAGGAACAGTTACTGTGCTGTACTGTAAGGGGAGCTGTTGGCACACAAGAGCAAAGCCCACGTATGAGCTCATCCGCCGGCCTCGGCAAGACCCACTTGCAGCTAGAAGCAGTCATGTTTCAACACCTCCGATTCCCTAACGCTGACAAGCTAAACAACTTGTTTTGTCTCTGGGAGCTCTTCTCTGGTGATTAACTGCTTATGGTGAATACTAATTACATGAAAGTACAGTACTGAAGGAGTGTCCTGTTTCCTCTACCTGCAGCCTCGACATGGCTTTGAATCCAGAAGCTACTGGGTAGAGTCCTTGCAAACCAAAACCGAGAAGGACATTTTTCTCCCCTCTGGTAAATAAATGTAACCCCTTCCATTTTTCAGCATAACACAGCTCGCTGACAAGAAGCTTCCTTTAACCTCTGAGCTCCAAACCAAGTAGAATCACAATAAAGTGAGTGTTTTAAAGGCCTATAATCATCATATGGATTAATCTGCAGTAAGAGTTTGTGAATTAGTAAACTATCAGTGTCCTCAATTCCCCATGTCCCATGTTGAAAATTTACCCCAAATTGTCAGTTCTTAGGAAGTGCACCTCAGATTAAAATCTTCTCACCAGGGAGTCTACGAGAATTTGTTCTTGTGTTTTAAATCCTAAGTGCTTGTTAAACCGCCAACACTGCAAAATTAGAGACCATTAAACAATATAAGGCAGCAAGTGATTAAATCTACCAAATACACATTCAAAGCAGCTTAAGCTACTTTTTAATTAAAAATAAAATATCACTGGCTAAATTCAGATGTCTTAGCTATCCAGAAAAGGTTAGAAGGCTGTTCAAAATGCAAAATGCTGCTGATAAGTCCAGAGAGAAAACAAGAAATGGGATAGGGGTGGGCTGGGGAGGTGGCTCCTCTTGGCTTCTGAGCCCAGGGTGGAGAGGCCTCAAAATGCTGACCCGGTTTAGTCAGAGGACGCAAAGCGGGGAGCCCTGGCTGTGCTGCAGGGTGAGGACTTCATGTGGCTGCTGATTAAATAAGCTTTATTAGCCAAGGCCTCAGAGGAGACAGGGTGTTCCACCTTCTTGGCAAGGGGGATGAGTTGAGTAACACTGCAGGAAGCTGAGGCACTGGAGATGTATAGATGGCTGAAGGAAATGTTAGTGCTATTTTTAAACATAGCCTAAATGGATTGATAAACAGTTCCTGAAATAATAATTAGTGTTGGGGAAGGAGGCAAGGGGACTTTTGAGTTAATGGGATCACTTGAGATTGAAAGAAATTTTCACTGTAAAGTTAGAAGTAAATAAATATTGTAGCTTTAAGTTGTTCCTACTTGTTTAAAGTAAAGAAAAGAAAAAGGGCCAGGGGGCTTAGTCAACGCTGGGCAGGAGGCCAAGAATCTGCAGATCAGACTTAAGGCTGGGATGATATCATTCACTCTGAAGTCTTGATACTCTTTCTAAAGCATGAGAAAATTTACTGGTAAAACCTTACCTCACCCACAGTTTTCTTATTTTTAACTTTTTTTTTTTCTCTCAAGAATAATTTTCCAAATCTGCTTTCTGCCTTATATGTAAATGTTATGAATTTACATTTAGCTTCCAACATGGTCTTACCTAAAAAGCTTGCCCTAAAGTAAAGCACAGGCACTTGGTAGCTGCAGGAATATAAGACATGATACTCATATTTAATCACTTCGGCAGCCGCGGTGGTCTCGGTTACCTCAAAATCATCCAGGGGGGCATCTAAAGCCTCCTGAAAAAAAGGAAACACAAAAACAGAATGTGGCTGTCAATAAAAAGAAGCACATTAACACACAGAGAGAGAAAGATGAGGTTTTTTTCGTGCAAAATAACAGTTAAATAAATATAGGACTATGAGGTAAGGAAAAGGGAGTTTCCCACATTAATGTTTAACATTTGAGTCCTGGGTAAATAGTAAAACCAGAAACATTAGCATTAAGTAATTCCAGATTGTTTTTGAGAGACAAAGTAGCTCTGGGTAAAGAAACAGGAAGCGGGGGAAAAACGTGAAAAGATCTATTGCAACAGCAACTCTGAAAAATCTTTACTGTACAATTTTAGCAACAAGATGATGGCTATACAAGCTACCTTCTTCCCTACCTGTGAAAGCTAAAAACATCCTAACAATTGAGCAAGAGACTGTGAAATGTCCCTAAAGATTCTATTGTACTTGCCAAAAGATGATTCATTGTGTGCTGAACAATTCCCAGTTCCATTTTGAATAAAAAAGTTATTTTGCAAGAGGTTGAGTTTGTTAGGTATATTTCAAAACCTGAGATGAATCTGTTTTCTTTATTATTGTGCCATCTTTGGTACATTTCTATAATAAATCTTGATTTATAATAGAGTAGATGGCAAATATCAATGTCAACATAAACTGGGTTTTGTAAGCAAAGATGGTTCTAGCTAGTTTACTTCTCACCTAATCATTCTCTACAAGTTGATTTTTTTTTTATTATGTGTAGAGTTTGTTGAGAATGTATCTTAACGTTTGGAAGCAATTAATTGGACATGTTGAGTCAGAATCTGATTCCATCCACACTCACTTATTTAATGGGCTGAAGAATTTTCTTTGACATTAATTTTTAGTAGAAGGGAAGAAGCAGGTTGGTTTGACTCATTTCTACCTTTCATTAAAATGGTAACAACAATGAACAATTGAAAAGAGCAACAGGAAAGATTTCAAACTTTATCAATATGAAATAAGGTTTCCTGTGGAGATAAGTAAAGCCACAGACTACTCTCCAGATCTCTTTGCTTTACTAATTCCCTACTCACAGTCAATTCACTGGGGGAGATATTACACTAGATAAATCACAACTGAAGATATTTACAAAATAGTTTTTCACTAAACTCTAGTAAACACTATCAATTAAACACAATGAATTAAATAACTGAAAAGAAACCACTGAAATAAATATTCCAGATACAGAAAATTAATACAGTAGCAAGAAAGAGGTTTTTCTGTTTATTTAAATTTCATTAGGCAAAAATAAATACATCTTTTAAAGCAATTCTTTCAGCCAAAACTCATTCTTCTTGCTCAAAGATTGAGTTGTTTAGCATTTATAATTTCTTTTCTTTCTTTTTTATTCTTTCTTAACATTATAAAAACATTATAGTTAAAAATAACTGCAAACATTGCACAAGTACATTAACAAAAAATTGAAATTCCCCTCATCCCAGCACTTTAGTATCTCAGATTTGTAACTATTTTCAGAAGGTCATTGTGTATTTTTCCAGACTGTTTTTATTTTTTGATGTGCAAACACATATATACACATACTACATCCACCTATACCCCACCTTTGCAACCCCAATTAAATCATGGTATATATACATGTTCCTTGATTTGATTTATTCACTCATGAACATACCTCCACGTGCTGCCATGTCAGTGCTGTAGATTTTGCTGCTTCTTTTATATTGCATTATATGACCATAGTTTTGTTTTTTTTAACATTTCCATACTGCTAGATATTTTAGATCAATTATAATTTTCTGATACTACAACTAATGCTGCAGTGAATATCTTAGCACATATATTTTTATACACCTCTATTTTTCTATGGTGCAGATTCCTAAAGGTAACATTAATGTATTAGAGGGTGTATGCATCTTAAATTTCAAAAGATACTGTCACTTGTCCTCAGAAAAAGGATGTATCAATCTATATTCCCAGCAAAAATGTAAAAGAATGTCCTTTCCCAATTCCTATAAATACTGTAGATTATTTGTTTTTGGTTTTTGCTTATTTGATGAATTTTTAAATATCAGTTTTTTGTTTTAGTTTCTAGTTTCTTGATTACTAATGAAAGTGAACATCTACTTTATTTATGAGTAATTTGTACTCTACTGTGATATACCTGTTCTTATTCCTTTCATATTTTTCAGGTATTTAATTTCCATTGTTCTTACTGAATTAGATAAACTCTTTGTATATTAGAAATAACTTATTACCGGAAATATATACATCCCTGCGCTACAGAAATACACAAGTGTGCAAATATATGTCTGATACATATGTGTATAAAACATTTTCACTCAGTTTTCTTTTAACTTTGTTCCTTATATGTATTATAATTTACTTTCATGTAGTCAAAGCTGTACATTTTCTATTTGCAGCTTCCAAGTAATCTGTCTTCATTAGACAGACTCGTGCTATGTCCCATCTCATCCTTAAAAATTATACAAATGTTAAACTTGTTTATTCTACACACTCATTATGTCTCTCTCTCTCTCCCATACACATGTGTTTTTTAAATTGACGTGCTTAGATCACTAATCCATCCAAATTTCGTTTTTGTGTATGGTGTGAAGAATTTTTCCCAGATGATTTCTAATAACCCATCTTCCTCCCATTGATTTTAATACACTTTTACCATAAATTAGATTTGTGTGTATGTGTGTCTTTATTCTCTATTCTTCTCCATTGAGCTATTTCTCTTCTTAGACCATCACTGTCCAGTTTGTAAGTAAATACTGAGCTGGGTCATTAATGACTTCTGCACAAAACTTGCAGCTATAGATTGACCGAGACTCAGTCTTGCTAGGGAGGATAACATTCCTGGAACGACTGCCCTTTCAGTTCAGCTCAGCTCAGTCACATCTAACTCTGTGACCCCATGGACTGTAGCACGCTAGGCCTCCCTGTCCATCACAAATTCTTGGAGTTTACTCAAATTCATGTCCATAGAGTCAGTGATGTCATCCAGCCATCTCATCCTCTGTTATAATCTTCTCCTCCTGCCTTCAATCTTTCCCAGCATCAGGGTCTTTTCAAATAGGTCAGTTCTTTGAATCAAAATATTGAATATATATTGAAAATATATATATTTTTTCAAAATATTGAATATTGAATAGCCAAAATATTGGAGTTTCAGCTTCAGCATCAGTCCTTCCAATGAATATTCAGGACTGATTTCCTTTAGGATGGACTGCTTGGATCTCCTTGCAGTCCAAGGGACTCTCAAGAGTCTTCTCCAACACCACAGTTCAAAAGCCTCAATTCTTCAGTGCTCAGCTTTCTTGATAGTCCAACTCTCACGTCCATATATAACTACTGGAAAAACCATAGCTTTGACTAGACAGATCTTTGTTGGTAAAGTAATATCTCTGCTTTTTAATATGCTGTCTAGGTTGGTCATAACTTTCCTTCCAAGGAGCAAGCATCTTTTAATTTCATGCCTGTAGTCACCATCTGCAGTGATTCTGGAGCCCAAAAAAATAAAGTCTGTCACTGTTTCCATTGCTTCCACATCTATTTGCCATAAAGTGATGAGACTGGATGCCATGATCTTAGTTTTCTGAATGTTGAGTTTTAAGCAAACTTTTTCACTCTCCTCTTTCACTTTCATCAAGAGATTCTTTAGTTCTTCTTCGCTTTCTGCCATAAAGGTGGTACTATCTGCAAATCTGAGGTTACTGATAATTCTCCTGGCAATCCTGATTCCAGTTTCTGCTTCATCCAACCCAGCATTTCTCATGATGTACTCTGCATATAAGTTAAATAAGCAGGGTGACAATATACAGCCTTGACATACTCCTTTTCCTATTTGGAACCAGTCTGTTGTTCCATGTCCAGTTCTAACTGTTGCTTCCTGACCTGCATACAATTTCTCAAGAGGCAGGTCAGGTGATCTGGTATTCCCATCTCTTTAAAAATGGTCCACAGTTTGTTGTGATCGACATAGTCAAAAGCTTTGGCATAGTCAATGGAAAGCAGAAATAGATGTTTTTCTGGGACTCTCATGCTTTTTCAATGATTCAATGTTGGCAACTTAATCTCTGGTTCCTCTGCCTTTTCTAAATCCAGCTTGAACATCTGGAACTTCACGGTTCATGAACTGTTGAAGCCTGGCTTGGATAATTTTGAGCATTACTTTGCTAACTGTGAGAGATGAGTGCAATTGTGCGGTAGTTTGAGCATTCTTTGGCATTGCCTTTCTTAGGGATTGGAATGAAAACTGACTTTTTCCCATCCTGTGGGCACTGCTGAGTTTTCCTAATTTGCTGGCATATTGAGTGCAGCACTTTCACAGCATCATCTTTTAGGATTTGAAATAGCTCACCTGGAATTCCATCACCTCCAATAGCTTTGTTCATAGTGATGCTTCCTAAGGCCCACTTGACTTCACATTCTAGGATGTCTGGCTCTAGGTGAGTGATCACACCATCATGGTTATCTGGGTCATCAAGATATTTTTTGTACAGTTCTTCTGTGTATTCTTGCCACCGCTTCTTAATATCTTCTGCTTCTGTTAGGTCCATACCATTTGTGTCCTTTATTGCGCCCATCTTTGCATGAAATGTTCCGTTGGTATCTCTGATTTTCTTGAAGAGATCTCTAGTCTTTCCCATTCTACTGTTTTCCACTATTTCTTTGTACTGATCACTAAGGAAGGCTTTCTTATCTCTCCTTGCTATTCTTTGGAACTCTGCATTCAAATGGGTATATCTTTCCTTTTCTCCTTTACCTTTCACTTCTTTTCTTTTCACAGCTATTTGTAAGGCCTCCTCAGACAACCATTTTGCCTCTTTACATTTCTTTTTCTTGGGGATGGTCTTGATCCCTGCCTCCTATACAATGTCACAAACCTCTATCCATAGTTCTTCAGGCACTCTGGCTATCAAATCTAATCCCTTGAATCTATTTCTCACTTGCACTATATAATCTTAAGGAATCTGATTTAGGTCATACCTGAATGATCTAGTGGTTTTCCCTACTTTCTT